GATTTTTCCCGGAGTAGGTTGTCATATATTCCTGCGGTAGACCAGTTGCCATCCAAGGCTATAGAACCTCGTCTGTCCCGCTATTTACCCATAGCTGCGAGGAGAAGTAGAGGATTCATAACTTTCCCAAGGGTCAGTCAGTCAGTCAGTTATGTGCCATGCGTGATACACGCTTAGGCGATCATGTATCTTTCGATACATGACTAACGAGGCAGATATTCCACGGAGTAGATTGCCATTTCTTTCTGCGGTAGACCAATTGCCATCCAAGGCCATAGAACCTGGTCCGTGCTGCTGTTTACCCATAGCTGGGGGGAAGAGTATTACCAAGAGTATTACCACGTAAGTGGATGTAATAGATTCGAATGGAATTCGAACTCGGCTCTCCGATCCTTCAACCCGAGCCGCTATCCATTACTCCACATCATCATTATCATTATCATTATTATTATAACTGTATTATCATCCATAGAATATGAAAGTTGGCATGCTAATTGTTGAAGCTTAAATAAGCATGGAATAATACAACACAAAATGTACGTTAACAAAATGTATTGAAACAAAGAATAGGTACACAATATTTACAGTTAGTTTGGTATATTCTTGGGAAGACTGTTCCTGCATAATGGGTTGACTAAATCGCAGTCGGGCAGAGTCTCTGGATTCAATCTCTTAATCTCTACTATCTTCCCCGTCTTCCGGTACCAACCCATATTTATATGGTCGGTAGTCCGCTTATGTAAATTAGGTGTATCATACACAACACTAATGTATGCCAATATCTACACTAGAAAATCAGTTAGTTTTATGCCAATGAATGTGCAAGAAATTAGTATGAGCACCATCCAAATTCGGGTTTAAACGTGGGACATCATACGGATTAATAGGATTTTACACACAGATAAAACAATCAGTGCTTACCACCTGGACATCGTGCTCAGTGACTATGACAAAAGAAAGTAGCTTTGAAGATCTTTAAAAAAAAAAGAACTAAGAAATTTCATGGATCTTAAAGTGGAAATCACAGAAATTGGCAGCTGCTAACATAATTCCAATTCTGCTTAGAGCTCTGGGTTTGATTGGAAAACATTCTGATAGATTCATTGAAGAGATCTATGGCCTTCAATGTCTTCCAGAAATACAAAAATAAAATTGTTCTCACTAGCACAGCTTACACCCTACGAATACATAATCTCTTTAAATTGTGTATGCGTTGGTAGTCTTTTTTTTCTTTGCGTTTTTACACAAATCTGCAGTGGAAATGAGTCGATTCCATTTCAAACCATAGGTCTCTGGTTGGGATCCTCGAAAGGAAAATAGTATAAATCATAAATCAAAGACAATAATAATAATAAAACTTGTATCAGGTTGCACCATATTGGCACTCACTGATTATAAAGCCTGGCATGACAGAGTGAGGCAATATCTACACTGGAAAATTTGCAACTTATACGGGAAGGAAACTGAAAGAAATTGGTATGAACACCACCCAGATCCGGTTACGGAGATAAGACCTGTTACAATTCTATGGGACTACACAATACACACTGACAGAACAATCAAAGCCAACCGCCCATACTTTGTTATTAAAGACCACAAACAAAAATAGTGCCTCCTTATTGATATGGCAGTCCCTACAGACTGCAATGTATCTTTGAAGATATTCAAAAAGCTGTCAAAATACAAGGGCCCTGAAATAGAAATCACAAAAATGTGGCATATGGGAACATCAATAATCCCTGTTGTATTTGGAGCCCTAGGATTGGTTGGACAAGATTGCAGTAGACTAACTAAAGGGATTCCTGGAAGTCCATGCCTCAAAGAGATACAAAAAATTATTCTCACAAGTACAGCCCACACTTTACGAAGGGCTTTATCTATGTAATTATTTCTTTTTTTGTCATGATGCCATTTCTAAACTTAGGTCCCTGGGCGGAACCCGGAAAGAAATGTGTAAACGCCAGAAATCAAAGGAAGTAATAATAATAATAATAATAATAATAATAAAATAGAACCTAGTAGTCTTGGAACAAAAAACAAGTAAATAATGATATTGATCAGTTACTTATATCCTAGGAATAATTATCAGTGCTGTACGTAAATGAGAGTCGAAGAGGTTTGATAGTGAAAGAACATGCAATACCATCAGAAACTAAGTCGTTGCCTGAATACTTCTAGGATAACCACGAGTCGTTGCTAAAAGATGCGCTGAATGAAAAAAAAAGGTCATTGTAAGACAGAATGGTTGACAGATTAGGGGAAAAGTATCTATAATGAAACGCCGATACACGGAAGTTAAAATGTACTGCGCACAGAACACATACTCAAGAAACCTAAGAGGTGGTAGATCTAGAATTATAGAAGTGGCTTAGATACGGCTCCTTTAAGAATGAAACCGAAAGCGTGATGAATGCAGCGAAGAACTTGGGTTAAGAACGAATTCCATCAGGTATTCTATGGAGATATCAGATGATATATATTTGCGAAGGCTGTATTGCAAATCTACTGGAAGAGAGCAACACATTGTCAGTGGCTACACTCAGCCGTCACGCAGAGTTTATACAACGCAGTGAAAAAAATTAGCTTCTAAATACAACTCGAACTGGTTTAGTTTGGTTTGTTTTACGGTATATCAACCTCAATGGGGTTATTTAATGCTAACAAGATTTTTATGATAAGTTCGTATAAATAAAGTATTTATTCTTTACAAGAAATCAGTTTGTAGATCAGGTTTCATTGACATTTTTTGTAAAGAGATTTTATTTATGGTCGAGAGCCAAATATATTCCTGGTAATATTTTTTTTTTTTTTTTCAAAAATATATTTCTGGGATTTAAAAGAAATGTATTGCTGGTAATTTTTTTCCAAAAATATATTGCTGGTAACATTGTCTGGTATTTTTATTATAAAAGTCAATTTTTTTACTTTGATAGAGTTTTGACCAAAGTTTGAGGGTTAACTATTTGCCCATAGCTAGGACCCATAACAGGTGCTGCCACCCTGGGTCTTGGTGAAACTGAGAACAACAGCATTTAAGATTGGGTGCCACAATTCTCATAACCTTCCGATCAGAGGTCTTGCTGCAAGATATCGTTTATCGTCATACCTTGGACGGCATATAGAACTGTGCAGATAATATGGTCATGACTGCTCAGAGAAGTGGTACGAAAATTCACCACCGTCAGTAGCCGGGAATAAGAACGTGTGCCTCTTGTGAGATAGGGCTCTCTTGATTGACAAGCGCTTGGTGAGAAATCACCTTGATATCAGGCTTCTGTCGAAAAACAATCATGAATTGATCCTGGTAGTCGTTGTGTTATCCTGAAATAAGAATATCATAAAGGTTAACATACGGAAGTAACAAAACCCGGCCGAGGAAATCAGAGGTCGATAGGCACGGTACTGTTTACAGGAATCATTCTACCTCCCAAGACGCCATTGGAACAGCTAATATCATTGCGTGTGAGCCCATGGCAGACATGTTTGGAACAACCTAAGAGCTAAGGAAAGTTTTGGTCCATATGCTGAGAGCAAAAGCTGGCAAATGATGATCGAAACATAAAAAAAGTTGAAGAGAACATTAAATTTAATAATAATCACGCGGGCGGGAGAACACACACACGCACACACACACAGGCACAAAACACACACACACATACAGGGTGTCCAGAAAGTTTGTATATACTTTTAAAAAAAATTATAACTTTATTTGTATTTGCGATAGAAATAATCTGTAAAAATGTTATAAAGTTTAATGTACCTAGTTTTAAGTATAGCTAAAATAACTAATGTGATTTCAGGCATTACTGTAAATCAGTTGGCAAATATTTTCCGTGAACTGCAAAATCGTATTACCCTTTGTATTGCTAATGATGGAGGACATGTGGAAACTTAAAAAGAATTCAAGAAAACTTAAAACAATATAGATTTCCTTCTTTTTAATCCTTTTTACAAATTATTTCTATCGCAAATACAAATAGTTATAAATTTTTTGAAGTGCACCGGAACTTTATGGACACCCTGTATATATATATATATATATATATATATATATGCCTGTTGTGTTTGCGTATGTGTGAACTTATCTGTTGAGCGTACGTAATATTTTCCTATGAATTTATAATCGTGCTTTCGATGATGCGTTAAGTTTTTTCCTATACTATCCTATAGATTTAGCTCTCTTTATGGAACCCTATTTTTAATATTCTATATTAAAAAGACCTACTGGATTTTCCTTTCCATCGACGGATTTGATATTATCATATATATATATATATATATATATATATATATATATATATATATATATATATATATTCAGGTTCAAAGCTTTGAGCCCAGGATTCATCTTGGGTTACTAATCTGCGGTAGACATTATCGGGATCATCCGGAAGCAAGTCAGAAGTGTCCTAGAAATGTCAACCCTTTTCAACTTCTTGCATTCTTGGGACCCTTTAAGACAGTTTGCTCATCACTAAGATTAACTAAAACAGCATGGACCGAACCAGAACAAATGCCTATGGACTTAGCTATCTTTAGGACATCTTTCATCCAAAACCTTACGCTGTATTGCATCATCTTATTCATTAGTCGTTGTTGTGCCTGACTGAGGGTCATATTCTGTTCTGTCCCTGAATTCAGCAGCCCGATTCTTTACATGTGCATAGGAAGGGGAGTCTTCAGAATATGTCTGTACCATGTTCTCATGGATACCGTTCTTTTGCAGATAACTTATTATACCTAAGGCCTTTGTTTTTTTTTTTTGTTTTGTTTTTTTTTTAATTTCATTTTTAGATTTGTTGCTCAGCTCTCATTTTTCTATGGTCCTCACCTGCACAGAAATGAGAAAAGAAATCTGAACGTTTTTTATTTTTATCTTTATAAGAAGTGCTAGTGTGCTGCCACCACAAAACGATTCAGCTATTGATCTTCTTGCTGAGTGATGCTTAGAATTTTTAAACGGCCTTTGTAACTATGACAATACATTTCTTTAATATAACAAATAGATAGATAGATAGATAGATGTGAACAAGCCAAGATAGACAGATATAAACCAGCCAAGATAGATAGATAGATAGATATGAATCACCCAACATAGATAGATAGATGTGAACAAGCCAAGATAGATAGATATAAACCAGCCAAGATAGATAGATATGAATCACCCAACATAGATAGATAAATAGATAGATAGATAGATAGATAGAAACCATAGATAGATAGATATAAATAGATAGATAGATAGATAGATAGATAGCGAAAATAGATAGATAGATAGATAGATAGATAGATAGATAGATAGATAGATAGATAGATAGATGTGAACAAGCCAAGATAGACATATATAAACCAGCCAAGGTAGATAGATATGAATCACCCAACATAGATAGATAGATAGATAGATGTGAACAAGCCAAGATAGATAGATATAAACCAGCCAAGATAGATAGATATGAATCACCCAACATAGATAGATAGATATATAGATAGATAGATAGATAGATAGATAGATATAAACCAGCGAAGATAGATAGATAGATAGATAGATAGATAGATAGATAGATAGATATGAATAGCTTGAGATTGATAAATAGACAGATAGCACTCTTGAGGCCCTTGTAGACAACTTGCTCATCCCTAAGATCTCAGTTAAAACAGTATGGCCCGAACCAGACTAATGCCCATGGACGTAGCTATAATTGGGTCATCTCTCAGTTAAAATCATACGGTGAATGTCATCAACTTGTTCATCAGTGGTTGAGGTTGTCGCACGGCCTGACCGAGAGTCATTTTCTGTGCTGTCCCTGCTCCGATTGAATTCCGCAGCCCACTTCTTCTCCTTTACATAGGATGGTGAGTCGTCAGCACGTATCTGTACCATTAGGTTTTCTAGTTTTATAAGAAGTGTTAGTGTGTTGCCACAGCAAAATGTTTCCGCTATGGCTCTTCATTCTGGGTGAGACTTGGAATCTTTTGAACGACACTCGTAATTGTCATAAATTTTGAAAGAAAAATCATTTGCCAGGCCTTTCTTTCATTTTCATTTGTAACTTTTTTTTTCTTTTTTTCTTTTTTAAGCATTTCATCCCAAGCAAGGCGGGAAGCCACTAGGACGCAAGGGGTTACAGAAAATTTGGAGCAAGATCAGATAGGAGTGATAGAAGAAAGGATGAGGGTAGTGGACAGATCATGGCAACTGGAGATGTCGATTGACCTTACACTTGAATTATTGGAGATTATAGCTCACAGTGAAACAGGAATAGGGAAGGGAGTTCCACAGGCGAGAGGGGCGAGACATGAAGCTATTGGAGTAGAAGAGACGGCTACATTTAGGAGTTTTGACAGTGAAGGGGTGAGAGCGGGATGCCAGCCTCGTATGGCGCTGGGACGTCTGGGAACCAGCGAATGCTGAAACTCACAAAATAGTTTGATAGCATCTGGATTTTATTGTCGATTTTTGACAACAATCATGTTAAACACTATTTAGTAGAATGATTAATAACAGAATAGTGTTTACTATATCTGCTGCCAATTCTTTAGGAAAAGGATAAAACCCCAGTTTCGACATGTATTTTATTTACCTTCTAATGAAATTGCTTTTTCAGACAAGGAAAATTGCTGAAGGGCTGTACAATAATAGAAGAGTCAACTCAATAAAAGTCCTTCTTATACAACATTTTTTTTCGGGTACGTTTTATTAATTACTGTCTAAACCAGCATCTTTGATTTGGTTATTTCTAGGACAAGTGGTTGGTCAATGCGTCTTTTCACATGGTTACCATTGTGTCATAAAATACATAACCCTGCACTCTTACATATGCTGTTTTCAAGAGCAGAGAAACTTAGATGTTTTTTCTCGTCTAATTTATGGCTCAAGAATCGAGGTACAGTTTTTCCGATTAAACACTGAACGGGTGTAACCGGTTATATTATGACCGTTACTGTATATTTTAGCACGTCCTACCTAAAGAACAAATCGAATATTTGTCAAGTCTTTTGGTGGCGATAAGCTACTGATTTTCTCGTTGGATTGACACAGATTTCTGAAGGAAATATCAAAATCGATCGCGAGAACAGGGTTGTGGGGAGCTGCAATAAAAGTGCCAGAAATCGATTGGTGATCGAATTATAACTGATTTAGTTATTTTAATGATCTTTGTGGCAGGAATGATCTTTTATTTGACCAGACGTAATTTGAGATGAAATCAAATTTGTTCTCAGTGAAAGTTTTTTTTTTTTTTTTTTTTGAGGTAGTGAATAATAGGACATTAAAAAAAAAAAAAAGAAAGAAAAAAACGTGGAAAAATAAAAATGCAAAATAAAAAGGAAGACGAAATTAAGCGAAAGGAAAGGGACATTCAGACGCGGGAAAATGACAGTGTGGACAGAATAAGTTGAATAAAAATGGCGTCGAACATCGCGAAGATGAGAAATAAAGCATCTGTGCTCGCCGCATTCTTTTTCAACCGCATTCTTTCTCTCTCTAGTTTTACGCGACAACACACACGCATAGACATACGCACAGGCATGCATATATATATATATATATATATATATATATATATATATATATATATATATATATAGGTATGTATGTATGTATGTATGAGCGAGTAAAGCCATTCGTCCTGTAGAAGAATTTCATCTAACTAAAGTAATGTTTTTATTGATGAAATTGTATATGCGTAGAGCGAGAAGACATAAAGGTGAGCTTCAGTTATAATTTTATAATTATGTACCAAAGGAAAGTGCTGGAGATGTGGAGACGCTATATATTTTATGTTTTAAAGAAGTTTTCTTCATTTTTTTTTTTCTACGTCAGTCGTGTCTGGACACTCAGGCGAGCCGACACTTTTGTTTTTGTGTTTATCGTTTCTGTTTTTAACGGCCCCAGAGTGTGAAAACAGAAGACCTGTCAGGAAAGGTGGAGTTTGAACCGAATTTACCGCGGATAATTTAGCCCATGAACAGACCATAAATTGGCGGTGTTCAGGACTATAAAAGGTCGGGGCAATAAACAATATTCCAATATTACCCCGGAATGCTATAGTACTGAAAACAACTGATCTACGCCGGACAAAATTACTTCTTCACGGCAGGCCATTTTCTTAATTTCAGACAGCCACGTGGCGCATCACGCGAACACGGACATACACACAGATATATATATATATATATATATATATATTTATTCAAGACATTTTTATGTTTAACGTTCTTTTTTATAGATACAAGTATTTAAGCAAATGCTCTGTTTATAATAAACAGTATTAAATAACATTTACCGGCCTGAATGTCCGAGAAATTTTCATAGAAAATATTCGTCCTTTGAAAATTTCTCGGACATTCAGGCCGGTAAATGTTATTTAATACTGTTTATTATAAACAGAGCATTTACTTAAATACTTGTATCTATAAAAAGGAGCGTTAAACATAAAAATGTCTTTAATAAATAAATTGTCGGACTTTGTCCATTTCTTAATATATATATATATATATATATATATATATATATATATATATAGACACGTATGAAGAAAAATATACGGAAAAAACAAACAAAAATCCTAATATGCAATTATGCTATTTTAATGTTAATATAATGTCAACGTCGGACGTTTCGGTCTAATAGACCATCTTCAGGACATATTCATATAACATAATTAACATTAGACTATATTTAATTCAACCTGAAAAGACGATGGACATAAGAGTAAAACTAATCAAAACAGACAACTGAAAATTTTCAAGACCAGCATTCCGTTTCAATATGATCACGTCGGCGTCACGTCGGCGATGTTGTGAACACGTATTCCTAAAATATAGTATTTTGAATGAATGTATGTATATGACGGAGTGGTTAGAATATTTGTGTAGGGTCGTTTGGGGACTTTGTGGCACTTAGTGCACCAGGTCTCTGTATTCGGCCCTTCAACAAGTGTGGATGGTCCTGCAAGAAACTTTCAACACTATAATCAAATCTCATGTGCTGTTGTAGGGCTGTCGGCTTATGTGAACTAATCTGCTTGACCCTAATACGTCGAATTCGACGGGAGAATCGAATAAGTATCTCTCTCTCTCTCTCTCTATATATATATATATATATATATATATATATATATATATATATATATATATATTAATTTATTGCTTAAAAGTTATTTTTAATGAATACCCATAGGTGAGTGCGTGTTCTATTTTGATTTATTCATTAAACAGTATGTTTCTTTATTTTCATCTGGCCGGAATATTCGAAAGAAAATATTTACTAAACCGGGAGGATGTTTTTCGAACATGATTTCCAGAATAGTCAGGCCGGTAAATCGAAATAAATAAATATAATGTTTAATATATAAATCAAAATAGAGCTACTATTCAAATATGAGTATCCATACGACATAAACTTAAAAATTAAAATATGTCAGACTAATAAATAAAATTTGCATTCCGATATATATATATATATATATATATATATATATATATATATATATATATATTTAGGCAGAAAGTTCTCTTTTAAGCATGTCTGACTGATTAAATTACAGACATTATGTCTGCTAATTTTATCAAAATTCGTTCATACTAACGAATAACCTTTCCATGTATTGATATTAAAGGATGAAAGAAATGTGCTATAAATGTTTAAATTTATTTATTTTAATTTTCCAAGTACTTTCGATCTTTGTCAAAGATCATCTACAGGGGTACAAGTAGTACAGAACTATATGTTGTTCATTAGTACAAGTATTTATACAATATTGTGCTTTTTTATTCATTTCCGTAATTTTCCGTTACGCTTTTAAATGCAAATGGTTGACAACGTGCTGAGCGTTCATTAGAAAACATTGGAAATGAAAATAAAATAAATTTAAACAGCTATAGCATATTTCTCTCACCGTTTAACATCAATACACGGAAGGTTATTCGTGTGTATGAACTGATTTTGTGAACCATTAGCAGACATAAAATCTGTAATTTATTTAATATTATTTAAAAATCGCTACATAATGGCAATTATGTTTCAACACTACAAATGTGTCTCCTCGGGCGATGTTAAACTACTCGCGAATCTATTAACTATTTAGCACTAGACTGTATTGAGCCCTCTTTTAAATTAAATGCTGCGTACAGTGGAATTATACTCCATTTTTTCTCATTTTAGCAGGATAGGATATATATATATATATATATATATATATATATATATATATATATATATATATATATATATAATCTATTCATCTGACGTCTTTCAGATTAAAATGAAGTTTAGTCCGAGGAAAATATAAAGGACAAAATGCGTCAATACAATTTTTTTCACACATTTCATAAATGTTCCTAAAATCACTCATGATATATAGACATTTATATATTTATATACTAGATCAATGCGTAACAATGTTTTCTTTCTTCTCTCACCCCTCTAGTATGTTTTCTTTCTATTTGAAATAAATCATTCTCTCTCCCTCCCTTCTTCCATCTCTCTCTACTACTACTACTAAACACACAGAAACACAAACACACACACACACACACACACACACACATATATATATATATATATGTATTTAAATAAAAAGAAAGAACAGTAAGATATATAATTAATTTAATTGCAAAATTAAATTCGTGGCTTTTAGCTTCCATTTTTGAAACATGGTTAGAAATGTGTAGCGGAAAAAAACATATTTTAAATCAATTAATTTATAATATATATATATATATATATATATATATATATATATATATATATATATATCAGAATGTAATGAAAAGGAAAATAATATAACATTCGGGGCATTAATTCAAAGACGGTTCAATACCAAGAGTAGAGCAATAATTATTTATTACAATTTTTACATGCGGACAAAACAACTTCCTACAAAAAGGCATTCTTGTTTCGATGCGGCTTCATCTCGAAGTGTGAGAAACAAAAATGATTAAAAGAACTGTCGAAATTAAGAGTTAGGAAAGTCAAATTTTAAGAAGGAATAGATGGAAATGGGAGAGAATGATAGAGAATGTCCAGAATACTAACACGAGGCACTAAACTTTAGTTAGTGTAGAATTTAAAGCGAATGGATGACGTGCGTTCGACATGAAAACAATATCGCAATAAATGTGAAGGCGAAAAGATATTATCCTTTGTTCAAGGAAATAAAAATAGCATAAAATATTGATCGACCGGAAAAAAAATTAACTGAACAATAAAAAAAAAAATGGTTAAAAAAGATAACTATTTTTGGTTCTAGCCAGTCGAGATGCATTCGCATCGAAACAAGAATGCACCTTTTTAGTAAGTTGTTTCTCTCCGTATGTAAAATTATAATAATTATACACACACACACACACACACACACACACACATATATATATATATATATATATATATATATATATATATATATATATATATATATATCTCGAGAGATTTGTTATCCATTTTTAAAATTCGTTTCTTTTTAACAATATGGATCGCATTTAATTCTGAAAATCCTCACGCTACAAAATCTGGATCAGCTGTAGCCACCCTTTGGCATATTTATAAAACCAATTTTTAAAAAATGTCTTGAATACTGAATATCTCAGGAGTACATTGACGCCGTGGGATTGTAATTAAGCTTGTCTCGCTAGATTCATTACGACTACGTATTTACTTTGGTCCTCGCTGGGATTTTTTCTATATTTGCGGTCTTGTGCCACAACTGAAGCTACGCTTCGTAAGTCACTATTGAATGTCTCGCTATCTCAGCTCTGCCAAACATCATTTCCTCTTCGTCGGGTCTCATCTTCATCGGCAATAGGATTGTCCACTATTCCCTGAAAAATAGAAGTACTGGTATCACATAACAGTTGAGTACACCTCTCTTTGTTTCTAGGGACATTTTCCTGTTTCTTTATACTTTAGCCGAAGTAACATCCTTGAAAACAGTCAACAGATTAAACGAAAGCGCTCGGAATTAACAATCATTTCTTCCAACACGTGTGATAAACGCTTGATGGGATTAATATCTGAGGAGTGATTTAAACAGGCTAAAACAATGAACGATTCTTTATTTTTCCTTTTGTTTCATATATCGAGGTAGACAAGGGGAGATAACCAACAGGGTTTTTGTTATTGGCGAGTTTAAGAGATAGTAAAATAAAATCGTAAAAAAAAATGAAAGAGATGGAAATGGAAGAGAATAAAAGAGCGTGTATGTAATAATAATGGGAGGGACTTAACGTTAGATAAAGTAGAATTAAAAGCGAATTGATGACGTAAGTTTGCCATGAAAACAATATCGGAATAGACATCGAAGACTAAAAGAAATACCCTTTATTCAAAGAAATAAAACTAGCATCAAATATCGATCGAGCAGAAAAAATTAACGGAACCAAAAAAAAAATAAAATAAAACTAAAAAACAAAAAAATAG